CCCTGGTACGACCTCCTATGGAGGTGACCTCAGATCTTAGAGGTCTCAGAGGTATCTATCAGAGTAAAAGATCTGATTTCAATGCGACTGCAATAAATCAGTTTGTTGAGGATGTTAGCTGCTGATATAGCAGGGGAGCATTTCAACTGTTCAATGCAGGATGCAAATCATTGTCACTGTTTTGGGGGAAAAACATACCAAAACTCTTCAAAACCTGTATATAAGACGACCCCCTTTGAAAGCCCCCTCATTCTAGGTACGACTAACACACCTTTAACACATCGATATATGGTACAGTATTTAACAGTATATCACCTGAATTTGTAGTTCACAGTTGAAACATTGGTTTTGTTTCTGGAGAAAGGAGGTTTTGCCCTATCCCCTGAAAAGTTGTTTTGTCTGATGCAGACCATGCCCACCCCCAATTAAGCTTTTTATCCAACATCAAACATTGGAACTGCACTGAATGGCAACTACCGTATTCGACGCAATAAGCGCCCAGGGCTCCCTCAAAATTAGAAATAGGGGGCTCTTATTAGAATATAATTTTGGTAAGAAAAAATATAAAACAGAGTTGAAAGATTGTAAATTTCGTGGTTTATGCTTAAAGCCTGAAATGATACAAAAGAAAAGTCTGTGTATTATACAAGACAGATATATTTTCCAGAATTTGATCACCCACGGGTGCATATAACACAAGAGTATGTATTATACACAAATAAATACGTCTTGTGTACATTGATCAATCGGAAGGGGTGCTTATTGGGATTGTTCGCAAGCCAATATATTATCAAATATTGCTGTGGATGCTTATTAGAGCGGGGCGCTTATTACGTTGAATACGGTATGAGGTGGATAGACTTGGAAAGACATGGAAAGACTTGGGAGACTTGGAAGACCAACAGGGTGATACTCATTGTGGTTGGTGATACTTGGATGTACCATTGTGGTTGGTTGAGGAGGTTTTGTTGCAACACGAACTGGCATTACTGATTATACACAAAGAATTACTGATTATCTGTCCATAGTGAATGATGGGTTATCTGTTTGTTGCTTAACGCTGCACTCAGCAAATATTCCAGCTATACACTGTCAGTCTGTAAATGATCAAATCTGGCAACCCATGCTTGTCATAAGAGGCAACTAAAGGGATCGGGTGGTCAGGCTTGCTGACTTGGTTTATACATGTCATCGTATCCCAATTGCATGGATCGATGCTTGTGATATCAATCACTGGATTGTCTGGTCCAGACTAGATTATTTTCAGACCGCCATCATATAGCTGCAATATTGCTGAGTAAGGCATTAAACAACAACAACAACAACAAAAATAGATAACAGGTTACTCCAAAGTAACACATCCAAATTCAGAAATATGTTCTCTCACACAAATGTTTAAATATCATCATGTTGAAGCAACTTGATTGGAAGAATCATCAAAAGCTCTTAAATCAAACAACATGATTGACCAATCAGAAAGTCAGAACTCATACCGAATCCACCATGTCTAACAACTTTAAACCTGTCTGACTTTTGTCAAAGTGACATATCGAATAAATATTCGGGAAGCATTTTCTTAGCATACTTCCTGTACAACGTCTAAATAAGTCAGAATCAGGTCATTCTTTAAAGAGTGGCTGAATCTGAAGGGGTCGTGGTACTGGGTATAACGAAAATGTACCCCAGGTTATTTTTCCAAAGTCAGAAGTTGGAGGGAGTAATAAATATTATTAACACGTTTCGGCGAAATATTTATGTCAAATTGTGAACTTTTATAGATTTTTTAAACCACCGAATAATCTCAAAATAATCTTGCGTCTATGATGTGTCGGCAGGGAAAAAATAATTGTTAATTTGATCATTTTCCTCCTGATTTTTAAGAAAATAGGGTCAGTGCATCGGTGATCTAACAAATACAAATAATATTGGCCTGAGCATTAAACTCTGGGTCATTGTCCCTATATGTGAATACCAACATACGGTCAAGTCCTGTTAATCCGACATGGTTGGTATGATTATGTCAGACTAACAAAGTTAAGTCTAAATACCACTGATTTAATTGGTTCCCATCATTAGTGTCAGATAAAGCCGATTGACAGATTTACGAGTGTCGGATTAACGCGACTTGACTGTATGTAAATACCAACTAATGTGAATACCAACAATGTGAATACCAACATATGTGAATACCAACACATAGGAATACCAACTAATGTGAATACCAACAATGTGAATACCAACATATGTGAATACCAACACATAGGAATACCAACATGTGTGAATATACCAACATGTGAATACCAACATGTGTGAATACCAACATGTGTAAATACCAACATGTGTGAATACCGACATGTGAATACCAACATGTGTGATTACCAACATGTGTGAATATACCAACATGAGAATACCAACGTGTGAATACCAATAAATGTGAATACCGACATGTGAATACCAACATGTGAATACCAACATATGTGAATACCAACATGTGTATACCAACGTGTGAATACCGACATGTGAATACCAACATGTGATTACCAACATGTGTGAATATACCAACATGAGAATACCAACATGTGTGAATACCAACATGTGTGAATACCAACAAATGTGAATACCGACATGTAAATACCAACATGTGTGAATACCCACATGTGAATACCAACAGATGTGAATACCAACATATGTGAATACCAACACATGTGAATACCAACACATGAATAACACATGTGAATACCAACATGTGAATAACACATGTGAATACCAACATGTGTGAATACCAACATATGTGAATACCAACACATGTCAATACCATCATATATGAATACCAAAATATGTGAATATCACCATGTGAATACCAACATGTGAATACTAACACATGAATACCAACATGTCAATACCAACACATATGAATACCAAAATGTGTGAATATCACCATGTGAATACCAACATATGAGAATACCAACAAAGCCAATGTAATAACGGCTTAATTGGTCTGCTTCTTTATTCCATCCACTTTTGGCAGAAATAGGAAGAGTGGCAGCGGTTACATTTGAGCAAGACGGAATATGAAATATATCAACAAGGATATCACAATAACAGAGGGAGCACAGACTGGACTTTCCACTTCGTTCGTTATATCACGTGACAAAGGACATGCTGAAGGACAAAATGGCTACTGTCAAACTCATCGTTGAGTATTTCCACGTCCATGTCCATGTCTACATCCATAATTACCAGCTGGTTACTGACAGAGGTTCGGAGCCAAGTCCCAAGGATTAGTGAGTGAGTGAGTGAGTTGGGTTTAACGCCGCTTTTAAAAGTATTCCAGTCATATCACGGCGTGTCAGCTTAATGTGGGAGGAAAGCCCGAAGTGATGCAGGTCTCCGACGTTTACCACTTCGGTGAAACCAACGAGCACGGGTATGGTGCTGACAAACCCAGAAACATAATCGGGGCGAACCCACAATCATAGGTTTCTGGCGTGCCCAAGGGACGCAACTCTGCACAGCGAATCGCGGCGCCTTAGACGACAGGGCCACCCGTGCCCCCCCCAAGGATTAGAAATTGGCACTAGTCCTATACTCCTTGCCAAACTGCCCAATAGCTAAGGTATCTTAAGGACCAGTAGAAATTTGCCATTTTTAAGGGTTTTGCTATATGTTATCATTGTAAGGACTAGTGGACTAAAAATGTTAGTTTCTATCGCTGCAAGCGGGGTGTAGACAGGCTGGAAAGTTTCTCACCATGTCCGCTCTGACGGACACAGGTAATGATAACGTGTCCTTTGTCACATGATTGGCAGCAGGTACAATTGCGGGAAATCTCACGGAGCGGAACATGGATTGTTAAGGTGGCTTGTAGCAATACATCATTGCAGCAAGTCCACAATATAACTCATAGTATATAATCATTTAGGTAACAATACTTAACACAATTCAAAATTCATGCAAAAATGTCACAAAGAACACATTCACATTAAAAGAACAACTTCCCCAAACAATATTATTTAACAAACAACATAACAGTAATCATGTGTTGGTTAAGACACAGTTCTATCTTCAGGGACCATATATTTATTAGGATTGTACAAGTATGGACTCTACCAATATTGATAAAAAAGCATTTTTAAATTTTTAAATAATTTCAGTATTTCCAAAATATTTCTTTCAAAGTATTTCCTAAAATACTCTACCCAAGCTACTGGAGACACTGTCTAATGTTTTGGGGCTATTCTGCAATGTAAGTAACTAGTTGTCCCTTAAATGATCATTTACATTGTGATATAGATTGTTTGTTGGTGCGTATCATGCAGTCGATCACACATACAAAGACCCAACAAAGACACGGAACATACAAAACTAGGAATCATGTCGTAGAATTTGTAAGAAAATGTAAACACAGCATATAATATAATAATATTTAGCATAGTTAAGAAAATACATGTACAGAGGGACATCTTCAAACATATACACGATACACGATATATATACAAACAGATCTCGCAGGACCTCACCTGGGTTAATCACCGTTAGTCAAATCCAACTAATCTGCATCTCGTTTTGGACTCAGAGCTCCAGATAACTTTTTGAGCAATTGAGTTTTTACTCGAAGGTTTTTATTTTAATTGGGTTATTACATTTTTCATTGGGTAACAACATTTTTTCACTCATCTAATCATCATTCTGTTGGTTTTTCCCCAAAATGAATTTAACATTTTGAGATTTCAAAATAAATGTAATAATTTTTTTGATGTATTTAAGGGTTTTACCTATAGGCTTGAATGATGTATAATATTTTACACACAATATCTATGGCTTCAAAAAATAAAAGAATTGGTTCCCAGGCAAAGACTTTTGAAAATATAGTGCAGGTAGGTTTTTTGGTTTGTTTTTTTGTTGTTGTTGACCATACTTATATGTAAATAAACAGTTGTGTACCATCAACCTGGGAAAGGGCCTCCCTACATAAATACAAACAAACTCCTATTGCCGCCATGACCATAACAAGAGATATAAAGGGAAGTAACTGTGTATTATATTTTTTAATTTTTGGAAAATGGAAATAAATATGAAACGTGCGGACTTTATGATGATGTGGCCGGTGCCTGAGAACCAAGAATATTTCTTTATTTAGCCTATTAAGGACACGATATTATCAAACTGTGACACCATATACTGATGTTGGGTTGACAGAGTTGTTAAAGAATTAATTCCTTCAGCTATAACAAAGACGAAAATATAATGGTACTAAAGGACTCCAACGTGACACAGAATCTACACATTCTCCTAAAAAAGTTAAATATCATCTGATTCTTTCATATTACTACAGTTAATCTGTCACACCATGACTATGGTAATAATATAGAATTGGGTGATCCTTAACTTTCTTTAAAGGCGAGTTTTGATGGGGACGATTTACGTAAATGTGGCATAAGTTTTAACTGACTTACGGACATATTATCACCAAACAGCAGATTCACAATATTAGCGTCTGAAGCAAAGTATTTATATGCTTCTGGGTGTAGCGGCCATAAAATTTCCGAGTCCCGTGATGGGATTCGAACCACGGACCTTCTGATAAGAGGTCGGACGCCTTGTCCACATGACCAAAGAGGTTAACCCCGTCAGCAAGCTGACAAGGTAAGGATGTCATCTGTGGGATGACTCCACGCCCTGCTACATACTCCCCCGTCAACAGAAGGCACGTCCCGGGCCGCATAGTAGGGTACTGAGGCTTATTTTGCTCAAATTTAATATGAACGTGCTCAGCCCCACGTTGGGCGCCAATGTCACGGCCATAAAATTTCCGAGTCCCGTGATGGGATTCGAACCACGGACCTTCTGATCAGAGGTCGGACGCCTTGTCCACATGACCAAAGAGGTTAACCCCGTCAGCAAGCTGACAAGGTAAGGATGTCATCTGTGGGATGACTCCACGCCCTGCTACATACTCCCCCGTCAACAGAAGGCACGTCCCGGGCCGCATAGTAGGGTACTGAGGCTTATTTTGCTCAAATTTAATATGAACGTGCTCAGCCCCACGTTGGGCGCCAAATTTGTAGCCGGGGTAGTGGTATGTATCCGGCTCGGGCCGTTGGGAAACACAGACACAGGCAGATGGTGATAATGGATTTATTTCAAGGGGGGTGGCTGCTGTTGAAGAACTACCTGAAGAAAAGAAAATGTCCTTCCTCCTCAACAGCAGCACATGAAGTCATATATTTGCAAGTTTACAGGTATTATTTATCTTAAATATAAAAGTACAAAAGCCATTGATAAACTATACTAAAACTAACTTTAATGTTAAATTACTGTTATATGTTCATTATAGGATACTTGGAAAGCACATGGTCCAAAATGGACCATGTGGTTAATTATTTTACAAGCAAGTTTTATAATATCAATATTCCATTTACTAATTTAATATTACTTTAAATGATATTATATATATATTATTCAATTTAATTCAGCACCCTAATATAGATATTAATTTCTGACAGAAGCAGATGAAAACAGATTGAAATATGGCCATTCCATACCTGAAGAAAAGAAAATGTCCTTCCTCCTCAACAGCAGCACATGAAGTGAGGAGGAAGTCAGGTATGGAAGGAAGCTACCTGTAGAGGACCAGGGTGGCCAATTAGAAGACAGATTGCATTAAGCATCAAAGGAAGTGCTTAATGCAAGATATAAATAGACTGAGGGAAACCCTACAGGTGTAAAAAATGTCTAAAGATAGACAGAAGGTTGAAGGGGAAGATCTGGTGAGAGATTCCCAGAGACTGAAAATAAGGGTGTTGAGTTGTTTAAAGAGTTAGATACTGATATTCAACTGTAGACAAGACAAACATTGAACATATAGATGATTATGATGATGATGTATGAATAATGATATAATTATAGGAAGAATATAAGGTACCCTGCTACATGGGCAATTATCAAAAATATGGAATTGGAATTAATGGTTTTCCTAAAAATGTTTCCTTATAGGGGACAGAAGCAATACGTCTTTGAACACTGATCCAAGTGAAAAGTAAAGTGTACATAAGGATGTAAGGGAGACAACTCTTGAAGCCTAGCTTTCAAAAAATATTAATAAGGATCCAAACCGACCAAAATTTGGCATCTTAAATTTTGTATCACCTTCTGATCAAATCATACTTATAGAATAGTAAAAATCCTGAACAATGCACTATATATTATATATTTTCTGCCAAACAAATTTTTCACTATCAAAATCCATTAACAAAACTGATTTTTTTAAACATCTGGCCCTATGAAACAAAATCAAGCCTCTGACCCTGATCAAGGATCTTGTTGGAATGTTCGTATGCACACTTAGTAAGTCGAATACAGTACGCTGTAGTCACCAGCATCCATCGCTTGTACCTCCATCACATCTAATTAATACCCTGGACCTATACGCTATCACAGCCTTGGTTTGAGTCCGACTCAAATAGCATGACAAATAAAATGCTATTCAATCAAATCAGCCTAATGGGAGTGAGAGAAATTCTGTGCTAAGTTGGAGAGGGAGCAGTGGGGTGGGTGACGTTCCTTTCAAAACGATGCTGGGGGTGGGTGAGTGAGTATGGTTTATGCAGCTTTTAACAATATTCCAGCAATATCACGGTGGGGGACATCAGAAATGGGCTTCACACATTGTACCCATGTCGGGTATCGACCCTGGGTCGTCGGTGTGACGAGCTAACCCGACCGCCCCAGCTACGGGTGAATGAGCCCAGGATAATTATCATTATCATTATCATTATCATTACAGATACTACACTGGATAATCAACGATGAGTCAACAGTCATAATTAACAAGTTTTCAAACATATGATAAAATAATAATACTATTTACAAGACAAACATATTCATGCTTTCAGTGGAACTACAGCAAAAAATCATTACACTCAGAATGTGGATACTGAACATTTAAAAATGCATATTTTCACAACCAATATTTTCTCAAGGAATACAAAAAAAATGCAAAATAAAATTTCAAACATGCAGTAATAATACATCATAAATCAAACCTATGGGTCATATATAGTGATAGGCATTTAACAAGTATTAACATCACAGTCAGCAGTGAATAACTAGTGTTATATCCCGACAATCCCTCGACACACAATCATCGTGAATCAGCATCTCAGACCATATCTTCTTCCCTAGTCCAATCAGATGAGGGTATAACCACTATCGACCAGTCATATGTCAGCATGCACAGCCTCCTCCTTCCGAGTCGTCTGCGTCATGCTGTCCGTACGCGTGTCCGTTTCTGTTTCGACTGCCGGGAAGCTGAGATTTGTCCACGCATTTCTCCATTCGTGTCATGACCATATCCAAGAGGCATTCCACCGCCTTGGACACATTCTGGCCAGTAGCGGCGCTCGTCTCAAAGTACGGGAGGCTGGAAACAGAATTCAGAGGAGCATGTGAGGGAGTTATTTCAGCCATACAGCAACGAGAACAAGTTGATATATACACTAGTGAGTCTTGAATAAACATTTACCGTATTCGACGTAATAAGCGCCCTGCTCTAATAAGCACCCATGGCAGTATTTGCTAATATATTGGCAAGTGAACAATCCCAATAAGCACCCCTTCCGATTGATCAATGTACGCAAGACTTATTTATTCATGTATAATACGCACTCGTGTGTTTTATGCACCCTTAATTATTGGCAATTAAATTCTGGAAAAATATATCCGTCTTATATAAACAATCAGGCTGTCAGCATAAACCATGAAATTTATCTTTTCCACCAAAATAATATTCTAATAAGAGCCCCCTATTTCTAATTTTGAGAGCGCCCTGGGTGCTTATTACGTCGAATACGGTATATTTAAATGCAAATTTGTCAAATATATTTGGGCAAAACAAATATCATTTATACAGTTTAAAACACAGGCCACCAGTAACCAAAGCTAGGTCACCCCGCTGGGGGTGATGGGGACTTACAGTGCTTCAGCTTCCTGCAGGATACCCAGCAGGATTTATGTCATTACTTTACTGGGTAATATTAAAAATACTCAGCAATGGAAACAATTACAGTGAATCACGCAGACCGCACCAAACCTCGTCTGCACTTGCAGTCGCTATTGAAAATGTGGTGGGTTTTAATCATTACGACGCAGACTACCGTAAATGACCGTAGATAAGCCGAATTTTGAGGACCAGAAAAAAAGATTCTGTAGAAAGGGGTTGACTTATGTATGGCCGACACTTACATCGAACTCTTTGTTTTGTTCGTAAAAAACGACATCACATTGCCTCAAGTGAATAAACAATGCTATAACAACTTTGTCTAAGAAAATGTGAAATTTGCGATTAAACATCACCAGACATGATGGTTTACCATTTCGATTGTATTTCTTGATAAGCTAGGCATTGTTTTGTATGCAGGGATTAAAATTACTGTGTGTATTGCCTCGTAAACTAAGCAGGAAATAGCAATCAGCTGTACCCACATGTTCTCCCAATAACGGAAAAAATAATACCTTAAATTACTATTTTACTACGAATATTATATTCTGATTTCGTGTTATTTCAATTGTAGGTTTTACTATATATCTTCAAAATAATGACAACAATAACCTGGGTTATGTGGCAGCACTTTTGTGTATTATCGGATACTTTTTTTGCACAGAACAATTTGACAAATCACTGTTAAAGTTTATGGGGCTTTTGTGTTGTTTGTAATTTGTGGCTATTTCTATCTAAAGAGTCTACATATTCCATAGTAAGGTTGCTCTCCGCTGGTTTCCATTGGTAGGCCTGTACACAAGGCTGCTTCAAAACTGACGGAGCTGAAACACTTACCCATATTTGTCTGCTATCTCCCTGGCGCGGTCCTCAGATACGAGGCGGTTGTCCTCGAGGTCGGACTTGTTTCCTAGCAGCACCACGTCGGGGTTCTCGCAGTAGGCGTGGGTCTGCAGCTGGGTCAGCCAGTTGCGGATGTTGAGGAAGGATTGCTCACTCGTCAGATCAAACAGCAACAGGAAGCCCATCGCGTCACGGAAGAACGCTGTCGTTAAACTTCGAAACCTAGAAACAAAAGCAGAGTAACAAGGATTTCCAAAAAATTACAGTGACAGAACTGATAGCAAATGACCTCAGGCTATGACTGTTATGATTCCAATACTTTGATATAATGCAGAGTGCGGCTTTAAACAACAAACAAACAAACAAAAAAATGTTTGATGTCATCGTACCCAAAATATTTTAGGTCGATGCTCATGATATCAATCACTGGATTGTCTGGTCCAGACTCGATTATTTACAGACCGCCATCATATAGCTGGAATATTGCTGAGTGCTGCGTTAAACACCAAACAGACAAACGAAAACATCATTAATGTCATCATAATCCAATTTCCGCGGATCGTTGATCATGATGTCAATCACTGGATCATCTGACCCAGACTTGATTATTTACAGACCACCATCATATGGCTGCAATCGTGTGTGTGTGGCGTTTAACAACAAACAAACAACCAATCATTCATTGAGGACAGATAATACGTAATTCCTTGTGTTAAGACAGGAATGTAACTGCCATTTTGCCGATGTCTATTGTACCCTTGAAGACCCGTGTTAGAATAGGTCTTCAGCAACCCATGCTTGCCGTAAGAGGCGACTAACGGGATCGGGTGGTCAGGCTCACTGACTTGCTTGATGCATGTCATCGTATCCCAACTGCGTAGTTCGATGGTCATGTTGTCAATCACTGGATTGTCTGGTCCAGACTCGATTATTTACAGACCGCTGTCATATAGCTAGAATATTGCTGAGTGCGGCGTTAAACAAACAAACAAAACGTCTATTGAGTACCTCTCCTGCCCAGCCGTGTCCCACAGCTGCAAGTGTATCCTCTGACTCCGCCCGACTGACCCGTCCACACTTGGCACTCGGTGAACCTGTCATGCAGAGATAGAGAGAGAGCACATTAGCAGAATACTATGTTTCAAATAAGATGCCCAGAAACTATAGATCGGCACTAGCCAAGTTTGGATGTGGTGTGGCTCCTATTCGAGTGGAAACCGGTCGATACGAAGGTGTACCTGTCAATAATAGAAGATGTTTTCACTGTAATGACAGCGTAGAAGACGAGGTCCATGTTTTGTTTCACTGCGCATGATATCAGGGCAACTCTTTTTAATGAATGTATTGCTAAATCTTATAATGTTTTAGATATGCCTGATGTCGACAAACTTTGTTTTATTTTCAGTGACTCCAGTGTGTGTTTTATACTTGCCAAAGTCTGCTTTTTAATTCTTAATCGTAGAAAACATCTTTTATATGGATAACTTTTTACTATATCATCTTTATATCATTTATGTATAAATTCTGTGATAATTCGTCTATAATAATTCTATTGAATGGTTCTGTACATTTTATCTATGTCAGGTTGTATAAAGCTGTTTTATGTATGTACAGGAGTGAGACGTTAATAAACTATTGTCTGTCTGTCTTAGCAACTATAATAAGTCAAAAGGACTATCCTTCGTCGTTGTGTTGCTGTCGTTGTTGTGTTGGCTTCTGTTGGGGTACCTTCCCAGTGCCGTAGCACAGTTTTATTTGAATCAAGTTGGGGACACGTGATACTTGTACAAATATTTGCCACCCCTGTCAAAAAAAATTAACTACGGCCTTGCTTCCAATTGTTACACATCCTATTTGGGCTGGGACGGGTAACTCAGGTACTCGGGTCGGGTGTGTACTGAGAAGGATCCGGGTACCCACAGGACTACCCGGACCTGTGGTTAGTCACGTGATATATTGTTTATTGACAAAAATTATCTAGAGGTCCATGGTTACACTACATATCACTAATGTTCACATTTCTTTCTGACAATGCACACATTCCTTCTGACTTTTAGATGTTTAAATAAAGAATAAAATTCAGTCAACTTCAGTGTATGCATGACCAGATCGTATAATACGTGTATCTAAATACATTTTGCCAGGGCTACGGTCAAACTATTCCTAATTGGATATTTTATACCTATCTATCTCTTGAGACCTAAAGCGGGGTACCTGTGTGGGTAGGGTAATAGAGGGGTGGGTACCCGGGTAGTAAATTTGGCCACATCCCTGCCCTACATCCCATGTCTTACACACCTGAAGCAACACAAGGCATGAATACCTGCACATATAGTCCCCTGGCTGTTACCTGGCAGATTATATGTCTTGATGTCAATCACGGGGTTGTCTGGTCCAGACGTGTATATTTACAGACTATCCTCATGTACGGTAAATCTTGAAATGAATGCGTCCCACAATGAATGTGCTTGCTGGTCCCTAGCCAAAAATGTGACTCAATATGACTCCCCCAACCCAAACACACACACCCCTCCCCAAGCCCAAGTGGAATTACTAGTTTGTGCAGAGAAAATTGCTTCTGTGAGGCCACAGGATGTCCATTATGTAATTTCTAGTGATTGAATGACATTGTTATATACTTGTTACAAGTGCTGCTCAATATACAGTGATGTGGAATATACAGAGTTGTTGGTTTTTATGTCCAAGTTGGTATTTCTGCTTGACAAAATGTGAAGTGAGGCCATCTTATTGATGATTGTCATTTTGAGATATAAATGCCATGTTTAATCAACATGATCAATGCGAGCAAAGACCACTCACATTTAATTCACAATTGCATTAATATTGGAATATTGCACAACCAACCAACCAACCAACCAACAAAACAGCCACCCAACCAACCAAACAACCACGCAACCAACCAACCAAACAGCCACCCAACCAACCAACCAAACAGCCACCCACCCACCCAACCAACCAACCAACCAACCAACCAACCAACCTACCAGACCAACCAACCAACCAGATCATAATAAAATGAACCTTTGAAGCTGATGGAGACAGAGAAGAAACTTAAGTGATGACATCAAAGTAAAGGGCCAAATTTGAAATTGTTCGATCATGCTCGATTGTCGACTAAACTTCATTTTGCAAGTGATTCTCAACAGTAGTTTGCAATTCCATGTGCGGATCCCACATGTCATTATAGCAATAGCTGACATAAATACTACAATCTAGGGTTTGGACGAGTCCAGATTTACTACACGGGAACCCGACCCCCCATTACCAGACCCCCCATTACCAGACCCTTCCCAGGTACCCAGCGAAACCGGGTCTTTGGCGTGACGAGCGAACCCTATTACCACTAGGCTACCAGACAGACCCTCATACAAAATATATCATTTGTCCTCTACTTTTTTAAAGTAGTATATTTTTGCCAGAAACAGGATATTTTGGGGGGGGCACTGGTTCAAGACATACAAATGTGTTTTCTGAAGTTTTATTCCTGACAGCTGGCATGCCCTGCGACATGTTTAATTATTATTTTTCTCCTGGTATTTTCTGGAACCATTATTCTTGACAACAGTGTCTTTCATGACAGCTTGCATTTCCTGCAACATTTATTGCCGTTGTGGTAAACCCTGAAGCAAAATATTTTCTGGTGTTTTAAGGAACAAAATATTTTAATAAGAACAATTCCCCTCTTAAACTCTGGAATGTTGTCTGCGAATTTACCCACTGGTCCGTAGCCCCAGTCAAGTAAACTTCCGTTGGGTCAACTAAGCTCAGCTAATAAAAGTCCATATAATACCACTCCATTCTGCTGAAAATGATACTAGGTTCTATGTTCATGCCAGTAGACTCCAGGTTATTGCACAGACTGTGCCTGACCTACAATACAAGATCATTGCAGGGGATCAGGACATTTTCTGGGAATTGCACTGGACTATGTAATAGCAGCAGGATCACTAGAAATCCCAAGCTGAGCTCACATTAACGATCAAAGCCAGGAACCCAGTTTCTCAAAGCCATCATTAACTCCATCTCCATCACGTGTCAAAATAAATGGCAGACGTGTCAGCAGTCGTAGCCCCCACGTCACAATCTGGCACAGAGCCCACGCAGGGCCTTCTTTACAAAGGTATCGGTAATCCCACGCCCATCATAACTCTGAGGTATAGAAGTTAGGACAGATATAGCCCTGCGATCAATTTTTTAAATGGGACCGCCTCCGTGGTCTAGTGGTAGAGCATCCGCCCAGAGAGCGGAAGGTCCGGGGTTCGATCCCCGGCCGCGTCATACCAAAAGACGTTAAAAGATGGTACTTGTTGTTACCCTGTCTGGCGCTCGGCATTAAGGGCCTAAAACAAGGACTGGTCGGCTCGAAGTCAGTATACTGTGTCTGAGTGGGGAATTCATGATAAACTGCGGCATGGTATCTCAGTGAGCTAGCACTATAAATCGGCATAAGTCCGGACTAGTACAAGCAGCCAAACAAACACACACACGTACATGCACGTGGCTATATAAGTGCAATAATCTTGGTCGCAACGTTTAACCCAATTTCACCTTTGAAATGGAACCTCTATGTTCCTTGTATGAAATTCAAAATTTCCCCAAAATTAAATACGCAACCTTAATGTCCCCCAGGTTGCCCCTCCATTTCGGACATACCCTCCTCAGCAAAACCACTAATTGGCCTGGTCGGCCCGTGTGAGAAATACGCATAAAGTCTGAAAGCGCACGTAAAAACACCAACTCTCTCTCTCTCTCCTTGTATGAGGTAACACTGCTTACCACACGCTTTTCCCGGAAGTCGATGCCCACGGTTGAAATGAACTTGGAGTTAAACATGCTGTCTGTGTACTGGTAGAGGTAGCTTGTCTTCCCCACACCCGAGTCACCTGCAAACAATACAGACATTTAGCGTGGTTCACAGTTTGAAGTAATCTTAAAACCCCAAAAGACAGTCGGGCAGCTGACCGATAAGTGTTGCCTCAACATCTCCATGGTAACCTGCCCACAATCAGGCATTATAAATATTGAGAGATTGCAAAAACAAAGAGACAAATCATGTCACTTGAAATATCGCAAACAATCACTTGAGAAGTGAGTGAATGAGTGAGTATGGTTTTACGCCTCTTTTAGCAATATTTCAGCAATATCACGGCGGGGAACACCAGAATAGGCTTCAAACATTGTGCCCATGTCGGGTATCGAACCCGGTTCGTTGGGGTGACGAGCGAACGCTTTAACCACTAGGCTACCCGACCGCCCCTTACTTCAGAAGTCTTTGAATGGCATTTATAAGTGATGCACATAAGGAAGAGGAGTGAGTGAGTAAGTGAGTGAGTGTGGTTTTATGCCGCTCAATATTCCAGCAATATCATGGCGGGGGACACCAGAAACGGGCTTCACACATTGTACCCATGCCGGGAATCGAACCCGGGTCGTCGGTGTGACGAGCGAACACTTTAACCACTAGGCTACCCGGCCGCCCCACATAAGGAAGAGACTATACGGATGCCAACTTCTTTATCATGAGGAACACAACGTTTCGGAGAATAGCTTACTCCTTTATCAGTTGTCTTCCATTTGTCCATTTACATTGTTATTTACTATCAGTGCTAATTTAAGTCCTGGCTTCCAATTGTCCATTGCTAATCCCCTATCAGCGACAAGTAACTGCTGTCTTCTCTTGTTAAGTTTCCACCTTTGTTTTCTTATTACTTTTACTGTTCTTACAGGTACATATAAATGTTCTCTGCTTTATAGCATTAATTCACCTGATGAAGGAGAAGTATATACTCCGAAATGTTGTGTTCCCCATAATAAAGAAGTTGATATCCACAAATTTTCTTTCTTAATTACTTCAGATGTCAATTTCATTACATGATTTTGGTTGGACTATGCATAGACTTGTTAGTTCATCATTCCAGCCTAGTATGACAAGGGTGGAAACTGGACTATTTAAGTCAATTAACTCCCTTGCATCGGGAAGATGGGTAGATGCTTGGTCTCTGTTAATGTCTGGTTTTTCTCTTCGGGGTTCTGTAGTTTGTCTTTTTCTAGTGATTCCAAACCATTTACTGGAAAAAGGAACCTTCAAGAAACTATAGATACCCAAACAATCAAGCTGGACATTAACAGAGACAAAGGCATCTACCTACCCAGCATTCACATGATGAAGAGGCAAAAAGTAGCACAAGGCCATAGTGAAACAGTTCCTTAGTAGAACAGAGCCTTAGTGGAACAGAGCCATAGTAGAACAGAGCCTTAGTGGAACAGTTTCTTAGAACAGTTCCTAAGTAGTACAGAGCCTTAGTAGAACAGAGCCTCAGTGGAACGGTACCTTAAATGGGAACACCCTTAGTAGAACAGAGGCTAAGTAGAACAGAGCCTGACCGAAACAGCCATAGTGGAACAGTCCCTTAGTGGAACAGAGTCTTAGTAGAACAGAGCCTTAGTGGAACAGAGCCTTAGTAGAAAAGAGACTTAGTACAACAGAGGCTAAGTAGAACAGAGCCTTACTGAAACAGCCATAGTGGAACAGTCCCTTAGTGGAACAGAGTCTTAGTAGAACAGAGCCTTAGTGGAACAGAGCCTTAGTAGAACAGAGCCTTAGTGGGACAGAGCCCTAGTGGTACAGAGCCATAGTAGAACATAGTCCTTATCAAGAAGAGCCTTAGCAAAACAGTCCCTTACAGGAACAGAGCCATAGTGGAAAAGGGGCTTAGTAGAACTGAGCCTTAGTGAAACGGTACCTTAAAAGGGAACAGCCTTATTACTAGAACAGGGCCTTAGTGGAACAGTCCCTTATTGGAACAGAGTCTCAGTAGAACATTCCCTTAGTAGAACAGAGCCTTAGTGGAACAGAGACTTAGTGGAACAATCCCTTAGTGGAACAGAGCCTTAGTGGACAGAGAGATAGAACGGAGCCTCAGTGGAACAGAGCCTTAATGGAAGAGAGCCTCAGTGGAACAGAGCCTCAGTGGAACAGAGCCATAGTAGAACAGAGCCTTAGTGGAACAGAGCCTAAGTGGAACAGAGCCTCAGTGGAACAGAGCCTTAGTGGAACAGAACCTTAGTGGAACAGAGCCTTAGTGGAACAGAGCCTTAGTGGAACAGAGCCTTAGTGGAACGGAGTCATAGTAGAACAGAGTCATAGTAGAACAGAATCATAGTAGAACAGAGCCTCAGTAGAACAGAGCCTTAGTAGAAGAGAGCCTTAGTGGAACAGAGTCATAGTAGAACAGAGTCATAGTAGAACAGAGTCATAGTAGAACAGAGCCTTAGTAGAACAGTCATAGTAGAACAGAGTCATAGTAGAACAGAGCCTTAGTGGAACAGAGTCATAGTAGAACAGAGTCATAGTAGAACAGAGCCTTAGTAGAACAGAGCCTTAGTAGAACAGAGCCTTAGTAGAACAGAGCCTTAGTGGAACAGAGCCTTAGTGGAACAGAGTCATAGTAGAACAGAGCCTTAGTAGAACAGAGCCTTAGTGGAACAGTCATAGTAGAACAGAGTCATAGTAGAACAGAGTCATAGTAGAACAGAGCCTTAGTGGAACAGAGTCATAGTAGAACAGAGCCTTAGTGGAACAGTCATAGTAGAACAGAGCCTTAGTAGAACAGAGCCTTAGTGGAACAGTCATAGTAGAACAGAGCCTTAGTAGAACAGAGCCGTAGGGGAACAGAGTCATAGTAGAACAGAGTCATAGTAGAACAGAGCCTTAGTGGAACAGAGTCATAGTAGAACAGAGCCTTAGTGGAACAGTGCCTTAGTAGAACAGAGCCTTAGTAGAACAGAGCCTTAGTGGAACAGAGCCTTAGTGGAACAGAGTCATAGTGGAACAGAGTCATAGTAGAACAGAGCCTTAGTAGAACAGAGCCTTAGTGGAACAGAGCCTTAGTGGAACAGAGCCTCAGTGGAACAGAGCCTTAGTAGAACAGAGCCTTAGTGGAACAGAGCCTTAGTGGAACAGAGCCTTAGTAGAACAGAGCCTTAGTGGAACAGAGCCATAGTGGAACAGAGTCATAGAAGAACAGAGCCTCAGTGGAACAGAGCCTTAGTGGAACAGATCCTTAGTGGAACAGAGCCTTAGTAGAACAGAGCCTTAGTGGAACAGAGTCATAGTAGAAGAGAGCCTTAGTGGAACAGAGTCATAGTAGAACAGAGCCTTAGTATAACAGAGCCTTAGTAGAACAGAGCCTTAGTAGAACAGAGCCTTAGTAGAACAGAGCCTTAGTAGAACAGCGCCTAAGTGGAACAGAGCCTTAGTAGAACAGAGCCTAAGTGGAACAGAGCCTTAGTGGAACAGAGCCTAAGTAGAACAGAGCCTTAGTGGAACAGAGCCATAGTAGAACAGAGCCTTAGTGGAACAGAGTCATAGTAGAACAGAGCCTTAGTAGAACAGAGCCTTAGTAGAACAGAGCCTCAGTAGAACAGAGCCTGATGATTGTGCTACAGTTAATGCAAGTATACACTGATGTATGGAAGTTAACGACAGTTGTCACACAAACAGTACTGCAGGAAATGAGGCCCTATTCTGCCTCTGAATATCCCCCCTGTACTGACCTGTCAAATCCTAACTTCCCATATCTTCCCCACATTTACATCCAGGTCAGCTTCACCCCCAGGCGTTCTCAGAATGAAGACGATGTGATGAAGTTAAACAAGGCTCTCTCTCTATCCCATACGACAAATGCAATAGCCACCAGCTTAGGCTAAGTTAGAGGATCTCTTCACAACAGCCTGCCCACATGTCCATACAAAACACAAATCACATTTCCCTGAGAACAAATCACATCAACCCATTGGGATGAACTGAATTTGGAGACATCTGAATATTCATCAGGCTAACCCACCAAAATACTCTTTGGCAAGATTTCTCGAAAACTAATGGACTAATTTCAGCTTCAAGTAAACGACAGAACAGTTCCCTCGGGGCTCTGAAACCAGGAAGTCGTAGGATGTACTGATGTTCGCTGGGCATTTGCAGGGATTCGGAATCACTGAAATAATCTGGATCTCCAGGCTTTACGAGTACTAGTGTTGTAGACATTAGTAATTTCTTGTCTGAACAGAATGGCTGTGTGATAGCAGGGCTCGAGTCACGGCTGTGGCATTGAGTTCTTACATGTTATCATTTATTTTGGTTATTGACAGTTTTCATTGGGTATTCATTCAAAATGATTATTTCCTTGGGACCAGTTTATTGTGTACTTTCCAAGCAATAAGTACTCTTTTTACAAATAACTCTGCTTAAAATGCTGTTTCCGGTGACTTCTAATTTCGATCTTGTTGTGTTCGGTCCCAAGTGTATAACATCTCGCATCAGCTCACAACCGTGATATACAGTAAGCAAAACATGCATTATTCACTGACATGTCGTATGTACTCATGATGCATGCATTCAATCAATATATATAGGACAGCTAAGTGATAACTCGCTAGAAGTGAGTGAGTTGGGTTTAACGCCGCTTTTAACAGTATTCCAGTTATATCACAGCGTGTCAGCTTAATGTGGGAGGAAAGCCCAAAGTGATGCAGGTCTCAGACGTTTACCACTTTGGTGAAACCCACGAGCAAGGGTATGGTGCTGACAATCCTAGAAACATAATCATGATTATCAAGCAAATCAACACCTCTTTTAACAGTATTCCAGTTATATCACGGCGTGTCAGCTTAATGTGGGAGGAAAGCCCAAAGTGATGCTGGTCTCAGACGTTTACCACTTTGGTGAAACCCACGAGCACGGTATGGTGCTGACAAACCTAGAAACATAATCGGAGTGAGCCCTGATTCAAACACACAATCATAGGTTTCTGGCGTGCCTAAGGGACGCAACTCTGCACAGCGAATCGCGGCGCCTTAGACGACTGGGCCACCCGTGCCCCCCCCAAAGATTAGAAATTGGCACTAGTCCTATACTCCTTGCCAAACTGCCCAATAGCTAAGGTATCATAAGGATTAGTAGAAATTTGCCATTTTTAAGGGTTTTGCTATATGTTATCATTGTAAGGACTAGTGGAGTAAACATGTTAGTTTCTATCGCTGCAAGCGGGGTGTAGACAGGCTGGATAGTTTCTCACCATGTCTGATCTGAAGGACACAGGAAATGATAACGTGTCCTTTGTCACATGATTGGCAGCAGGTACAATTGCGGGAAATCTCACGGAGCGGAACATGGATTGTTAAGGTGGCTTGTAGCAATACATCATTGCAGCAAGTCCACAATATAACTCATAGTATATAATCATTTAGGTAACAATACTTAACACAATTCAAAATTCATGCAAAAATGTCACAAAGAACACATTCACATTAAAAGAACAACTTCCCCAAACAATATTATTACAACTCTGCAGAGCGATTCGCGGGGCCTTAGAACCCGTGCCCCCTGAAAGTTAATAAAGTAAGTACACAGTTCAAGAACACCATTTGCTGTCCCCTTGTTACGTAACAGTAGTAGATAGTCCTGTATCCCTATCAAACGTTGAGTAGTATATAAACATCTGTCAGTCAAGCAACACAGGCACGCAATCTCTAAAGGCTACACTGGGTAATTCCACAGTGTTTTTATAATTTGTAAGCAAGCAAATCAAAATAATTGGATAATGGTGATGTATTTTGAGTATTTCACAGAAATAAGCAGCTTATCTGCAACTCTCATGAAATGCTCTGTTTTTAGATAATGCAAGTTTAAACTGACGAGTGTAAAACATACGGAATCCGTTAAGTGCCATCTGCTCTTTTTTTTTCTTTCCTGAAATTTCCAGATACTAAGTTGAAATTTCACGATAAATAGTTGAAATTTCCAGATAATGTTAGTTCATTACACTGCTGATGGCAAGTTGTGGACAAGTAGTAGCAAAAAAATCTCAACTTATTACCTTGAAATTTCAACTTATGCATCTTGAAAAAAATAGTAAAGCAGATAGGCCTACAAGACTTCCATAAAAACTGGCAAAAATGTCAGTCTGGGGGCAAAAAGCATGTGACACAGAAAATTCAGCAGTCATAATGTCCAAAACATCAGTGTTGGAAACGTCTTGTGTTATAGTGTAAGGGCATGGTGAGAATCGCAAACACATGGTTAAATAAGTTATCAGTGGCTGGAGGGCGCACTTAAAAATCATCCTTTTTAAACAAAAAATGTTTATTGTATGAAGCCAGTGAGCAAGGCACTTCTGCACAGTTAAGCTGGAGAAACATGCTCAATGCACACAGTATGATTCCCAAATAAACCTGGCGATTCAAAAATTGAGGAAAGTATTATCGATCTTAAAGGACAACCACTTATTATCTAGCTCATGGCAAAATTACATTCACCAAGTTCCAAGATGGATCAGGAGTATATTATTTTCCTCGAGGGGACATTTAGATTCCTGGAGCCTGCCTAAACATCTTTAAAAATAATTTATATCTTGGCATCCGTTTGAAACATTTTCACTGATATTTCTTTCCTTTATTTGCTAACAGTCGTAAATACCAGACCATGAGAAGATTCTGGGTTAGAGTGAGTGAGTGAGTGAGTTGGGTTTAACGCCGCTTTTAACAGTATTCCAGTTATATCACGGCGTGTCAGCTTCATGTGGGAGGAAAGCCCAAAGTGATGCAGGTCTCAGACGTTTACCACTTTGGTGAAACCCACGAGCACGGTATGGTGCTGACAAACCTAGAAACATAATCGGAGTGAGCCCTGATTCAAACACACAATCATAGGTTTCTGGCGTGCCTAAGGGATGCAACTCTGCACAGCGAATCGCGGCGCCTTAGACGACTGGGCCACCCGGGCCCCCCCCAAAGATTAGAAATTGGCACTAGTCCTATACTCCTTGCCAAACTGCCCAATAGCTAAGGTATCATAAGGATTAGTAGAAATTTGCCATTTTTAAGGGTTTTGCTATATGTTATCATTGTAAGGACTAGTGGAGTAAAAATGTTAGTTTCTATCGCTGCAAGCGGGGTGTAGACAGGCTGGATAGTTTCTCACCATGTCTGATCTGAAGGACACAGGTAATGATAACGTGTCCTTTGTCACATGATTGGCAGCAGGTACAATTGCGGGAAATCTCACGGTGCGGAACATGGATTGTTAAGGTGGCTTGTAGCAATACATCATTGCAGCAAGTCCACAATATAACTCATAGTATATAATCATTTAGGTAACAATACTTAACACAATTCAAAATTCATGCAAAAAGTGATGCAGGTCTCAGACGTTTACCACTTCGGTGAAACCCACGAGCACGGGTATGGTGCTGACAAACCTAGAAACATAATTGGGGCAAACCGGGATTTGAACCCACAATCATGCCTAAGGGATGCAACTCTGCACAGCGAATCGCGGCGCCTTAGACGACTGGGTCATCCGTGGCCCCCTTCTGGGTTGGAGGAAACCCGAGCAACCTTGGCTTGTAAGAGGTAACAAAAATGGATTGGGTGGTCAGGCTCAGTGACTTGGTTGATTGTTGTATGGGATGATGCTCATGATATCAATCACTGGACTGTCTGGTCCAGACTCAATTATTCACAGTCAGTCGTCCTATAGCTGGAATACTATTATCATGCAGGTAAGTACAAGCCTATTTTCTATGCTAGCTCCAAAATTAGTTGCCAATACTGTCTAGAACAGAACCTGCAAAAAGTCCTCGAACGGGATAAACAAGCGTCCGCAGACACTGTAACGTGACGAAGCCATTTCCTGGTCAATGACCTGACCGCTGTTCACATAATTAGCCATCCATCCTTGTCAGTATTCATGATTCTATGTTTTTGTTTTCACATTTTACATCTGACTAGCATCTGTCTATGCAAGATTCTATACAATATGACAACTATTTTTTAAGCTAGGATGCAAAACAGGTTGCACTTCTCGACCTGCCTGGCCATAGGTTACCGGTACCCATTGACCATCTTCACAGCCGCCTCACTGGTCCAGTGGGTAGAGATCTGCCTTGAGAGCGGAAGGTTGGAGATTTGATCCTCTAGGCCATGTTATAAAATGGCACTTGTTGTTACCCTGCCTGGCGCTTGGAATTAAGGGGACAAAACAAGGACTGGACGGCTTGGAGTCCATATAATGTTTCTGGTGGGGTATCCATGTTAAACTGCAGCACGACATTTCATAAAATTGGTATAATTCCAGACTAGCGCAAGCATACACACATCGCCATATAAGTGCAATAATCCTGAATGCAATGTTAAACCCCATTAAACCTCTCCGTCTTCGTAGCAGGACATACACAACAGTGTCATCATGGTCATGGCATGGAATCAATACTTACCTAATGCTAGAAACTTGATGAGATAGTCATACTCGCCAGAGCTCCCTCCCCCCGTTCCCCCTCCACCGTGAGTGGGAGTGGAGTCCCCCATCTCCAAATCTGCAAAATAAAATATGTCCATTAGTACATTAGTAAAAAGAGGAAAACTGCCCTTTTCGGCCAACTGGATACGTCAAACTGCAAATCTGCACAAAACTGGAGTGAGTGAGTGTGGTTTTAAGCCGCTTTTAGCAATATTCCAGCATTATCACACCAGGGACACATGGAATGGGCTTCACACATTGTACCCATGTGGGGAATCAACCTGGGTCTTCGGCGTGACGAGCGAACGCCTTATCCACTAGGCTACCCGACCGCCTCTCACAAAACTTTAAATATTAGTATGAAAACTATCAGACATGTTCAAATTTAAATTTAAACTTACATTATTTTTTTTTTCTTAACTTGCAAGTTTTGTACTGACATGATCAAATACATCAGTATGGCTCAAATGAAAGATAAACAATAAAGGCTGTCTTTTAATACGTCAAATGAAAATCTAAGCTAGAGAAGGACCGTAAACATGGTAAACCACAAAGACATTTTTACCATATGTTTGTACTGTATATATTTCCTAATGAAATCCATCTTGCCGTAAAAGGCGACTATACTTGTCGTAGGAGGCGACTAACGGGATCGGGTGGTCAGGCTCGCTGACTTAGTTGATGCATGTCATCGTATCCCAATTGCGTGGATTGATGCTCATCACATCAATCACTGGATTGTCTGGTCCAGTCTCGATTATTTACAGCTGGAATATTGCTCCATTAAACAACAAACAAAAACCCAGAATCCCCACGGGGTCTAAGAGATTTGGTTAAATATCAAATTACGCTGATCATGAGGGCTCAAAAGGCTCCTTATCCTTTTAACAAAATACATTCCCAAACTGGTATTAATGGAGATGTCAAGTTTGTCAAAGACCCTGCATTAAGATCAAGTGACATTATGCTCAGAAAACTTGAATTCGACCTGAATTTAAAAATAAATAAATACCGTATTCGACGTAATAAGCGCCCCGCTCTAATAAGCGCCCACAGAGATATTTGCTGATATATTGGCTAGTGAACAATCCCAATTAGCACCACTTCCGATTGATCAATGTACACAAGACTTATTTATTCACATATAATACACACTCGTGTATTATATGCACCCTTAATTATGGGCAATAAAATTCTGGGGAAATATATATGTCGTACATAAACATTTCAGGCTGTCACCATAAACCACAAAATTTATCTTTCATCTCTGTCTTTTTTCACGAAAATATAATATTCTAATAAGAGCCCCCTATTTCTAATTTTGAGAGCGCCCTGGGCGCTTATTACGTTGAATACGGTAATCAATTTGTATTTGTCATATCCCCATCAAAACTGTCTGTCATACCAAAATGAAATTGCAACAAAAACTATGGTAAAAACATCTTAAAGATACCACTGTAATCTGCTGCTATTTGGGTCGCCGATCATATCCCCTGAGCGACCCAGTGAGCATGCGACAGTTACCATGGCAAACCCATTCATCAACACCGAAAAGTCTTCCGACGACTTAAACCCCGAAAACATTAAGAATGTTAAAATACTCTCTGTCACACACAGTCACAACAGATTCAGCAGATTCCTCTGTGTGTGTAGTGAGTGCTAGGTGGGTTTGCTGCTGAGCGGGATCGTTATGGAAATACGATTTGAAAAAAGCAGGAGCCGTTTCTTAAATTTAAAGCTGTAATCATCTAAAAAACTTCATATAAACACTGTTGTTAATTTGAATAACATCAATATTCTAATCTTGGAATGTTTGCATCGTAGAGATTTGCTGCAAGCTAGTTTGCATAAGTGGCCCACCAGGGAACTGGTGGTTTAGAACTGGTCGAATAGGCCATCGATATCTTTTATGTGTTTCTCATCTCCGACCTCAACCAGCAAGAGAGCTGGTGGGCGAAATTAAAAAAAATAATTAAATTAAAAAAAATATTCACAAATTTGTAACTTATTTGAAATTTTTAAGTGAAGAACACTTGGTAACAGCTATTAAATTAATTAATGATATAGATGGACTTGCTTTGCTTTGGAAGCAAAGTTTTAATAAATATAGCTGAGAAAAGGTCAAGTTTACCCAGGGTTTATTTTAATGTGCAACTGCAGGAGCATGTTTCAGGGCATATATTTCCACAGCGGTGGGAATATTGAGAAAAGAAAACTTATTTATTTTGTCATGTCGGAATGAAAATTCAGGGCAGGCGGGAGATGGGAAACAGAGAAAACAAAATACACACAGTCCAAGAGGAGAGTTACTGGACTGGCCCAGTCGTGTCAATTAGGGCTGGGACGAGTCCAAATTTACTACCCGGGTACCCAAACCCCTATTACCCGACCCTACCCGGGTACCTACAGGAGATGTCTCAAAATGTCCGATTGGGAACATTTTTAGCACAGCCCTAGCAAAACGTATTTAGATGCATGTATTAAACAATCTGGTCATTCATACACTGAAGTTGAATTAAGTTATATCTTCATTCAACCATATGAAAAATCAGAAGGAATGGGTGCCTAGTCAGAAAGAAATGCAAACATTAGTGACTTGTAGTGTAACCATAGAGTTCTAGATAATTATTGCCATTAAACAATATATCACGTGACTAAACACGTGTCCGGGTAGTCCTGTGGGTACCCGGGTCGTTGTCAGTACCCACCTGACCCGGGTACCTGAGTTACCCGTCCAAACCCTAGTATCAATCACTGGTTTGTCTGACCAAGGATTGAATTATTTACAGGCCTCCGTCATAATCATAATATCAATCACTGGTTTACCTGGTCCAAAGTGAGTGTTGTCCGAGTCCTGTAATAAGCACAATAAGTGAGTGAGTGAGTTGGGTTTAACGCCGCTTTTAACAGTATTCCAGTTATATCACGGCGTGTCAGCTTAATGTGGGAGGAAAGCCCGAGGTGATGCAGGTCTCAGATGTTTACCATGAGCTTGGGTATAGTGCTGACAAACCTAGAAACATAATCAGGGCGAACCAGGATTCGAACCCACAATCATAGGTTTCTGGCATGCCCAAGGGACGCAACTCTGCACAGCGAATCGCGGCGCCTTAGATGACTTGGCCACCTGTGCCCCCAGCACGATAAGCAAGGGACACACTCACACTGCAGTCAACACTATTCCAGCTATAAGACAGCATTGAGTTTGGACCAGATGAACCAGTGATTGATATTATGATTTGTTTGTTTGTTTGTTGTCACACTCAGCAATATGCCAGCTAAACGATGGCGGTCTGTAAATAATAGAATCTGGACCAGACAATCCAGTAATGTCATGAGGACTGATCAACACAATTGGGATACGATGACATGCATCAACCAAGTCAGCGATCCCATTAAGTGCCTCTTAAGACAAGCATAATTGCCTCATACACCAAACTCTACTCTCATGAAATAATGTTTTAGATGTATATAACGGATCTAAACATAGGCTTGACTTCGAAAGGAAATTATCTCCGTTTTATGCATGCTGAAAAAGCTTCATTGGGTATTTATGCATGTCAATATGCAGCTTATCTGTAACTTTGCCTTGTACGACAAGCATAGGTTGTGGAGACCAAGTCTATTCCGGAATCCACACTTCAAATATATCAGAATATGTATTTCGTTACACATCAATACATGCATATAAATATGAGAGAAGATGATCTCACAAACTGTTTGGGTAGTTTCAAGACGCCAATATTTCACAAAATTCTGTGAAACATTCTTAGTGCTTCAGTTCAAGTGTTGTGATCCCCACATTTTCAATCAAACTTTAAAAAACTAAGTCATAGCACTAAAATCACTTTGTGGAGGGCCCCTGCACTTTAATTCAACATCAGGAAGTACACAACTTCCAGGCACAACGTGCAATCTTTGTGTTTGAACAGTTCATGTCGTGATTCCAATATTTTCCCACAATCTCTAAAAAAGCAGGTCCCAGCTGTAAGATCGTTTCGTAGAGGGCCCCTGCACTTTAATCCCACATCAGGAAGGAGAAAACATAAACTGCAGGAACAACTACATACTTGCAAGCCGTGGTGTATTAGAGGACGCAACTCTGCCCGATTTATGTCACGTTATTCTACACGATATGGCCTGTAAAGGAGGGGGAGTATTGATTTCCCAGCATTCTCCACAGCTTCGCACGTTTTCTGGCATTTTGGACACTCCAGAGTCTGTGATAAAATCTTGTCTTGTCAATTCTTCCATACAATAGACGCACTAGCTTGCCTTGATTAATCCCAACTCAAGGGATAATATTATAGTGTTCACCACAGCATACTTGTCACATCAACTGCTCTGTTTTAAATAGTTCTGGTGCTGTGTATGCAACAGCTGATTTTGACACAGGCATAAACTAACGTTGTATCTAATTTTAGGGAATCAGGGCTCGAAAGGTTCACTTGTGTGTTTGTATTGACGATGGAAGCCGTGTTCAGAAGGGAACAAACGCCTCTCTCAGCCAAGGCCGTAGTTAACTTTTTTTGACAGGAGTGGGGGGCAAATAAGATTATTCATTTTTTATTCAAGTTAACTTTCACAAGGAAAAATATTTTCTGTAAAAAATCCAGGGGGCCAGGATAGCTACGGCACTGTTAGCAGGCTAGTGCATATTTCAATCGTATCAAGTCAACAGTTCATGCACTCTAGGACTTGGTTAAGAATTCATATTTATCTGTAAAAAGCTTCAGCAGGTGACATTTTAGTGAACTTCACAAAAGATTAATGAGAACCTTTTTAACTGCCTACTATGTAGCCTTTTTTATTTCCTAAAGTTTAATTACACAAAATGGTAATAATATCTGAGAACATACAGCTCTATAAAGTTTAAAAGGACAAGTGAAAATATTAGAGGTCAAGTACAAAATATTACCTACTTGCCCAGGAGGACGAGTCGGGCTTAAGAAATTTTATGAGCTTGGCGGCTGATATTCGGCAGCAAATGCCAGTGAAACTCCCAAATTTGAATTAAAAAATTCCAAATTCATGTTTAATGGCTTTGTGGAGTTGACCTGTACTTATACTGGGAAT